GGCCCAAATCAAGACTGATTTCATCATCAACTTTTGGCTTATAAACTAAAAAGTGCTTTTCCTTAAACAAATGGTTTATGTTTAGAAATAACCAAATGTAAGAGTATATTTGCTTTCTACATAAAACATCCTTTTTAAGTATATATATATTTAAGGTTTTATGAGTTATATAAGCTTATATACGTGTGTAGAGTATATTTTTATACAGCTGAATAGCTTTAAACTCCAAAATTGACTTACAAACAAACAAAGAAAATCAACAAATAGAAGAGTATGGTATAAGCGGACAGGTTTAACATACCAACAAAGGCACTGAAATGCTTTGTATAATTAGAATCAGTTTCATTGCCAGCTCTGTCATCTTCACAGTACAATTTTCACATGATTTTCCAGAATTACAGGAATATAGAGCCTAAAGCAATGGTTTTGACCATGTGTGTATGTGTGCGTGTATGTAGACCCTACATACTGTAGGGTAGGTCAGGGGGCTATCATTCTATCCCCTCCAGCACATTCCAGTCCAGAAGAAAAGACTTAAGCACAGAAAGTTCTGAAAAACTGTTATAGTGATTCTAACATGAGTACAGCACCAATTTCACCATGCCCAAAACATTTTAAACACACACATGCACACAGAACCCCCCTCTCTTTTCCAGCATTTGAGAACCGCTGCCCTAAATCATATACCAGTGGTGGATAAATGAGCTTGTTGAAAGAAAATTTCTATGATATATGTAATGCCTTAATTAAAGAATAGATACAATGATATAAGATTTGGTAGATATGAATATTCATATTCTTATCTAAAGAATCTGCATAAAACAATTTTATGGGTCCAAGTAAACCATTGCTTACAGACCACCACTCCCTCATGAAGAGCTATGTGACATAGATCAACCTGATAATTTTCCATCTGGTTCTGAATTCATAGACTTTAGCAGCCATTCATTCAACAAGGAGTTGTGACTAAAGGCTTTTAACTTACTTCCTGTAGGAGTGTGAAATGAAAGAAAGATTTGCACACAGCTGAAGATAGTGGACAGAATGCCATGACAATGCAGTTAAATTAAATCAAATAAATTGGATGCATTTAAATAGCTTCTTGCTAATATGCATGCCAGTAAGACTCTTATTAAGTTAAGGAAAGTAAATAATGAAAATAAGAAATGCTTTCCTGGGGTTGGAAAGGAACAAGATAAGAATCATCAGAGCTAGAAAATATTACAAATAAGAATTATGAAATAAAGAAAGAAAAAGATTCGAGTAAAAGTTTTATGAAAGAAAATTACAAAGGAACTCAGACTTATGGAGTGTGTGTGTCTATGATTTAGAAGGCGCTGAGGTTAGTGAAATTATGTGTTTGACTAATATTGCAAGGTATTTATTGAAATAACAAGAATATTTACTATTACCTTACTTATAAATTTAAATGTTTTGACACAAACATTTCTGGGGCAGATCACTCAAAAATGATGCACCAGTGAAAAATGATGCAATAACATCTACGTTACTCTATTCTTTTCTTTCTTTCTTTCTTCTGTTCTTTGCCACAGAATTATTTGCCACTTATTCTGAAAATTCATTTACACTTTTCTTACTTTTTCTAACTTGTGAAGTGATAATATATACTCCTTTCTTAACCTTTCTTCTGCTGCGTGTTGAGAATAGCTCATGTTCATACGCAGCTAGTAAAAGGAGAAGCCAACATTTAAACCCAGAGCATTTGGTTCAAGTTCAGTGCTCATTTGGCCAGGTAAAATAATTGGATAAATGATTTGTACCAGGAACAAGACTGAGGGAGTATCAATAAATAACGACTAGAATATACAGTATCTTAAAATATAGCAACAAGAAATTTGACTTAATGTAGCAGGCAACAAGCATCCATTATAGACTTTTCAACCTGTGAGTAAAGTAAGGAAAATGATCTTTTATCTATCTGCACCATGCAAGACATTAAAGGGAAGAACATTTGGAAATATCAAATCTAAGAGGTAATTAAATCCAAGAATAGGCATAAAACTTTGATGTCAGTTTCTGAGAAATCTTTCTCATGTTTAATGATGCATTCCAAACTTAGATGAGTGCTTTTGGTCCCCAGTGGTGCTCAATAAATATTTATAATTCCAGTAGATGATAAAATGGAGAGGCTCTGGCAGATAATGAATTTATTCTTCATGTTTAGGAATTAGAAGAGTGAGGGAAGGAAACAGGAATTTGTTATCCATCAGCATAGAGGTAATCATTGAACCACAAGAGACAATGAGTGCTCTGAGCAATGAGTGTAGCAAAAGACTATAAACACAGCTTTAGTAAACACCTGATTATTTTTCAGTGTCAATTCCCATGTTGATTCTCAAACAAAGCATTTGGGGACCTCAAAGCAGATGGTGGAAAGAGAGAAGTGGCCAGAAAGTGGTAGCAGTTGCTGCAGAGAAAGCTAGCAATTAAACAACGAGGGTCTGGTGTCAGATAGTGATAAATTCTAAAACCAGGTCTGCTATCTTCTGAGTTTTTTATCCTGGTCAAGTTAACTAAGTCTCTGTTCACTTAAAAATGGGAGTAATAGTATCTGCCATATTGGCTTGTTGTGAGAATTAAATAAAATAATAAAGTGCTTAGAGTTGTGCAGGAATCAAGATTAAGGCTCTGGGAGAGACTAATTGCAATGGAACTTAGCGTACCCTCAGGTGGATACTTTCTGGAAACTGAAGATGAAACCCAGTGCTAAGAAAGGAGACAAAGGCAGACTGCTGTATCTTCTTGGACTCTTGAGTTTTAGAGCTAATCCCAGGAACAAGGGATTAGAAACAAGCCTTCAGATGGAAAAGCACAGTAGCAGCATCTAAAATGAGCTGTTACAGGCTGAAATTGAGCAACAGAAAGAGAAAAAAATAGTTTAAGAAACAGACCAGTGAAAACAGAAAAAACAGGAATAATTTGTAACATGAAAAGCAAGAATAAGAGAATCTTAAGATGTAGGAGATAATGAACCCTGGTAAAGTTTATAGGATGTTTAAACGAATTAAAACTAATTCAAATTCCAATGATTTGGGCTGAAAGAGATTTTTAGTGATGCAAGGAGAGGATTAACAAAGCAGTGGGGAGAAACTGTTGGAGACATGGATAGGCATAGAATGGACAGTATGTCTGAACTTTTCTGTGTTTAACAGAACAGTAAAATAAGAAAAAGCTAGACTAACAGGGGGAAAATCCTTGAGAATTGGGGAAACCTGTACATATTTGAAGGTAAAAGGAGAGAGTTGAGGGAGAGGGGAAAAACAAAACAAACATACCAAAAAAGCCTAGAGCTAGACAGGAAAGAAATTGTAGAAGAAATAAGTGGAATGATAAGGATAAATACATTAATATCCAAAGTACAATTAGAGCTCTTTTTTTCATAAAAAGATTGTAAGAAGGATGCCTATATGAGAAGACTCAAATTTGCCAGCAAATGGGAGGGAAAACCCTTTACCTATACAGGGAATTGACTGGAGGATTTTGAGAACTAGAATAATAGTTATGAGAAAGAAAGCAATTAGCGGAAAAAAATTTATCAGAGTCAACTTACTACTTGGCTACCAAGATTCAGAAATGAGTCAAACCTTTGCTTTCCTGCATCTGAAACAGAAAATATACATCTAATACAGCAAATATAAGAACTCTAAGATGAGCTCCCCAAACCCAGTATGTGCCAGAGATATGTTCTGCAGTGAGTGAAAATTTTAATTTGCTCAACCTGCAGGCAGCCATGGTAGCTGCATCTTCTGACCAGCTTCATGCCAAGCTAACATTAACATTTTCTATGTGTACCAAGATGTGAAAAAGGTTGGAATGCTCTGCTCTAAAACCATATTCATACAGCCCAAAGTGAAGCTTCCTTGACAAACATTTAGTAAATTCCAAAAGATTCAATATACAGGAAAACAAAATGAGAATATTTAAAAATACAATAGAGTTAAAGCTTATAAAACCTAAATAAATAATTTAAGATGTTCAAAATAATTTAATAAAGAGAATTTGCATTCACTATATGGATCCAAATCTATGATGTAGAAGAAACAACGGCAATCATGTGTCAAAAATGTGGATATTATGATAATATAGGACTTTTCTCCAAAATTAAACAAGCTCAAAAATAGACTTGTACTCTTAGTGGATAACTTTGACATACAAGGTTATACTTCGAGGTCTGCCTTCTGCTTTGGCTTTGACATTCAAAACAGCTTTTAAAGTTGAATATGTTTTTATATTTGTAACGGTTTCAGTAATTATATTAATGCTTAGGAGGTTGTGTTAAGTACTAAGACTATAATGACGATTATTTAAAGTAGTTTATATGAAGAAAATGGGAAGTAAAATTAAAAATGCAAATCACATGACGATAACATCAAGGTTTTAGGAATATAAGAAGCATATGTATACATACATATGTTATTAAGAATTTTAGATATATTGTAGTAAATCATTTATTATCACAGGTTAATATTATTAAATGTTCAAATAATGGCCTCTTTAAGACACTAAGTTAAAGGTATTAAAGAATATGTTCAACATTAAAGAGTGTGCTAAAGAAATCGATCACAGCTCTTATTGTTTCCGTAACTCTTTCTAGAGGGACCAGCAGACAAGGAAGTACACTAAAATGATGTTTTCCATCACGTGACCTTTGCTCCCTTTCAGTTCCAGCTGATTGCTCAAGGACAGACCATCCACAGAGGGTAAGTGACTAGTTGGAAATGACCCCATACAGTCAAACATACGATTGCATTAATATCTAAACACAATTTGAAGACAAACAGGTAACATTAATTTGCAATTCTGTTAGGAAAATATGAATACTCTAACTTAAAAATAGAACATCTAAAAGCATTTTACCTTAATTTGTTTTGTGTTAAAATCTGAAATATTGAATTCAATCTTTAATATTCTCTGCCTTTAACAGCTCTGAATTCCTATATGAAACCATTTGAGGAAAGGGAGACAAGCAAAGTACTTACTTGTGATGCTATTTCTCGAGACTGACACAAAGGGAGGAAAAAAGAAACACACAAAATGTGGTTTAGACAATGAGTAAACAATACATACATGAAACAATCAACAACAAAGACAAAACAGGACAGATACCCACAGAACACCTTAACACTGAACTATGTGTTTATTTATCATAGGACCTTGGAATAAAATTAGGTAAAGAATAAGCTATCATCTTTAACGTTTACCAGAATGTTGTTCATTAGATTGTTTTTGGGGTTTTTTGTTTTTCGTTTTTTTAAAGATTGGCACCTGAGCTAACATCTGTTCCCAATCTTCTCTCTCTCTCTCTCTCTTTTTCTTCTTCTTCTCTCCAAAGCCCCCCAGTACATAGTTGTATATTCTAGTTATAGGTCCTTCTGGGTCTGCTATGTGGGACGCCACCTCAGCATGCCTTGATGAGTTGTGCTAGGTCTGTGACCAGGATCCAAACCAGTGAAACTCTAGGCCACTGAAACAGAGCATACAAACTTAACCACTCAGCCATGTGGCTGGCCCCTTTGTTTCTGCTAAAATTGTCTTTCTAAGATTTGATAGAAAGAAAAAATGGCACCAGTATAAGGAAATAAAACAATTGATAGAAGCTTATGAGACTACTGTATTCATGAGAGAATATTTCACATAATTATTGACATTCAATAATCATTATTGATATTAACACCTGTGCTATATTTTAAAATTTAGATCTTATAGTAGGATTAGTTTCCTACTAAGTATACATTTAAGTAAGTTATAGAAATATTGTGAGCTTTCACATGGGTTATTGAGTATAAAAATTGATCTGTTCAGTCACCATATAACCCCTAAATTTTAGAAGTTATAAAAATCACACTATCTTATTCTTCAGTTCTAAGGAATAATATTTTATCCGTTTTTCAATACGTAGAAGTGAAATTTTCAATTATATTCTTTGGCGTAATATAACTCAAGTGTAACTCATTATTTACCATTCTAACTATTACAAATATGAAAATTGCGTCATAAACATTTCATTATAGGTTTCTTGAAACTGTTTATCTCAGGATTCTTAACACATGACCTACTGGAATAAATGTTGTTTGAGTCAATAACAGCAGAGAATGGGCGGCTAGAATTTCAAAACTATTCTATCTTAATCCTTACCAAAATAAAATTGTTAATGTGATTTTGTGAAAGGTATACTTTTATTTTAATAATATATTTAAAATATTATGTTCCAATTTAATGGTAAAGAGTTACTGATTGGTAGGTGGGACAGTCAAAAATTATTCCATTATGCATATTTTTTAAAGCTACAGGGCTTATGGACCGTATGAAGGTGACCAACAATTAGAGTAACATATTCCACAAATTTATTATGTAGTTTTTAAAGATGTTGGTACTTTAATACATTTTAAAATGATCTCTTTCTAATTTCTAGTAAAATTTCACTGGTTATAGTACACTGCGGGCAAATGTGATTTTCAGTACACTGGAAAACTGGAGGCAAATATGGTTCCACAGTTTCTCACCAAAGAACCATAGGAACAAATATGTTTATTAATTCAGAATTTTTCAGATTTTGGAAGAACAGTGCTATATCATATACTGTATGGTATGTGATACCCGTAGTGGGTCTTGGATAGCATTTTATAATAAAAAATCAGTATTTCAGCAATGAAAAGTATAAATATTCACTTTAAGTAGAATAATAAATGTTATAAATAATCTCATAACAATTCAAGTGAGCTTTTGTCACCAAATGAGTTTAGTAAGCTTTTTGGGTTTCAGAATTGTGGATAAAGGAGACTGGACAGAAATATTGTTCTTCTTTGCCCCCAAAAGGAGCAAGAGTCCTTGTCTGTCCTGTATTTGTTTTTTGAACCAGGAGATTCTGACGTTTACCAAAATATCCTTAAATAGACCCATATAGAAGGTGGTAGAAGTTCTTCTGGCAAGGTGATACAGGACTAGGTAAAAAGAGGCAGACCAGCTGTACCCTACTTTCCATATGCACCTCCACTTTTCTATGTGTTTGTATAAATCCTCCTTCCACTGATATATAGTCCACCCAAAACCCTGAGATTGTTTGCCAGGTCTTTTATAAATTTTATAATTTTAATTATGAATATTCTTTATCATCATTTGTCTTTTCAAAGATGTCTGCTAAAGTATTCAGTGCTTCCCCCACACCCACAGCCAAAGCAGTGATATAACTTATAATAACTTTTTTTTTCTCTACATAGAAGATGAGAAGATATTGAAGACAGACTAGAAAATGATGTGGCATGAGAATGTGCATCTGCCTTTAAAATGTTTTTTTTTTTGGCTCCATGAAATAAGAAGGAAGCAAGAGTTTTTATATTCTTAAATGTTGGCATTTAATTAAAAATTCTTCATAAAATAGGATAGAATTTAACACTGGAAAGTATAAACCAAAGAAATGATCAATAAATGGGTCTAATATGACTACTTTATGGCTATATATGTATTGGTTATTGTTTTTATTAGCTATAAATATATAGTTTAAGTAGTCAGAAAATACTACGGTTTATTTTGAAAAATAGCACCTTCCACCATAATTTCTTGTTTCCCCCTCATAGGAACCATCAACTTTTACCTCTGTAAACTGAATATATTGCTCTCTATCTCTCTGTTTCTACGAAACACACTTGATTGCTATTTTTAAATTTTTTCAGTTTCTGCATTTATCTATTGACTTCTCCCTCTGGAAGGAGAGGAATTAATCTTTTCCACCTATTCCACTACCCTTGCCGTCTCCCGTTATTTCAAAATAGTTCAAGTGTAATTTTGGTTAGATCAAAATTCAGGGCATATTATGACTAAGTACAATTTACAGTTGGGCAATATAGGAAACATAGTTTCTATTCATTTCCTGCACAAATTTTTTGTTGTTGGTGGTGGTTTTGTACTCTTAGAGTTAATAATTGTCTTATTTTATTAATTGCTTAGTTAGATATGTACTTAAGAATTCATCATAAACTCTTTGGCAATTGTATAAGATATTTCTGCAACATTAAGATGCATCAGGTTCTACAGATGTCATCTTCCTGAAGAAATCTCTTTGAAGCCTTCTGACCTGCTCCATGTTGCCCTTATGCCTGGTGGTCCTTTCCTCACCATTCTGGAAATTTCCTTGGCCTCATACTTGTTGCCTGGTTCCCATAAAATGTCTGGTGACCATCCAAATAGTGACCATCCCTTGGTCTCCTTCTCCATCTTCTCCTCTCCTTCAGTGTTCTGAAATTTTATGATGCTGTATGAGTCTACGTTAATGCCTTGCGGGGGGCACCTGGTGACCCTTCAGGTTTGGAAACTAGTACACTTCTGTTCTGAGATTATTCCTAAATTACTACACTGATATTTCTTCAATTTTGCTGCATTTCCTCTTCATGGATGTCTTATAATTCATATCTTAGACCTCCTGGATTAGTTCTCTAATTTTATCTTATCTTTACTATTTCCATGTTCGAACTTTTGCTCTAATTTCTCAATGATTTCCTCAACTTCATGGTACAAACGTTTTCATTCCTGCTAGTACATTTCATTTCCCAAGAATTCTTTTTTTTTCTGAATGTTCTTTTAGAACTATAGCTTCCTGGTCACCCTTCATCCTTGTAATATCATTTTAATAATATTAATTATAGCTTTTCAATATATAACTTTACTAACATATTTTACATATCATATAATTCACTCTCATCTAGTGTAAAATTCAGGGATACTTTAGTAAATTTATCAAGTTCCACAGCAATCACCATAAGTCAGTTTTAGAATATTTCCATCAATCCAGTAAGTGCCATCATGTTCATTAACTGTTGCTCCCCATTCCTTCCAGCTTCCCCTGCCTTAGGCAATCACTAATCTACTTTCTGTCTGGATAGTCCTCTTTTATGACATTTCATATACTTGGAATCACACAACATGTGGTCTCTGGAGTCTGCCTTCTTTCCTTTAACATGATGTTTGTGGATTCCGCCAAGGTGCAGCACATATGACTAGTTTGTCTCTTTTTACTGCTAACTAGTATTCTATGGTATGGATATGCCACATTTCATCCATCTGTTCACTAGTTGATGAACATTTGGATTGTTTCCAATTTTTGGCTATTATGAATAATGCTAAGAACATTCATGTGCAAGTCTTTGTGTAGATATACTTTTATTTCTCTTGGGTAAATACTTAGGAGTGGAAGTTTTTATTTTATGTTTTGAAATTTTCTTTTCTCTTGTTTGTTTATTTTGGTTTCTCTATTTCACGCTATTTCCTGAAATAGGGAATTTTTAATTGTCTTCCCATATATAAGAGTAGAGGGCTAATAAATTGATTGAAAGCTCTGGGTGAGATTCTTCTCATTGTGAGTTTCCTGGTCATCCGGCTGAATGAATGAATGAACTGGAGAATCTCCTATGTCTGTATCTTTAGGTCTTTCTACCTGGCTTGCTCAGATCTCCTAGGGAAGACTTTTCAATCTGCTGCTGAAATCTAAAGTATACAGACTGTACCCTTTCACTTAGCTCTCCGAATTCAGTGTGGTACTACTGCCCTCAGTGCCGCCCTGTGGCCCCCAGTCCACAGACCACCTGTGTAGCCTCTCCATAGAATCAGTCTTCAGTCTTTGCCAGTGTGGGGTGAGAGACAGCAGCACAGCTGTGCAAACTGTCAGGAAGAATGGGGATCTGACAGCTCTCCAAGCAGGAATATGTCAGACTCTTTAATTCTAATTATTGGATCAAGTTTCTACCTTCTGAAATCTGGTGTCTTTCTTTAATCAAAGTAAGAGAATATTGGCATTTGGGGCAATGATTAATTATTTGAATTCTAACACTTGAATTTTCTTGAACCATCTGAGATTTGAATGAGACAGTGGAATGGAGGAACCATTCTTTCATTTTATTAGATTCACTAAACTCTTATTCTGTGTTTTTATATGATTGGGAAAATAAGAATGTGCTCCTCTTCACACAAAACCCAACGTCTTTACTGAGTTAATATTTAATTAACGTCTCCCTATTTTTTATTAAAAAGAAGATTGACTTAAGGGATATTTACTTTAATGGTACTTTTGCATCTTGCAAAACTATGATTGAAGGTAGATACTGTTTATCACATTACTTTAAAATTTCTTATAAGGAAACTCACAATATACTCATTCTTTTAATAGTGAGCAGGAAAAACAACTCTTTCTCGAGATGAACTTGTATCTTTTATCTATCCGACTACAGTTATTACATACCTCAACAGTTGTATTTTTGCTTTATTTGCCAGGAAAATAAAAGCAGAATTCCAACTCAACTGTAGGGGTCAGTTCATTTTAGACGTAGAGTAACATTAATTTCTCTGCTCATATTAATATACTTTGTTGTAAAAATTCTTGATGGTCCTATTTTTATCTTTAATTATTTTAATTGTCTTCTTTTACTCTACAATAGGTGGAATGCAAAACTTAAATGAAAATATTTGTGCCAAAAGATGAATTGAAGTCAATGCAAGAAAACAGGAGGTATCACCTTTATTTAGCCCAATTTCACTTGATCTTCTTAAGAATGTGTGTTTTTCAAATGAACTAGAAGTCTGGGGATTTACAAACATTTTACTGAGGTGACCTTTATTTGTGATGGGAAGAATTGACCAAAATGCAACGTTAAATGCTCCTTGATGGCAATACAAATATTTAATTATCCTTTCTCTACCTACACTGTAAACAGCATACAATGAAGTCCTTTCATAGTATGAAATGACTGACATGGATACGGGCTAGACCAAGGGTGGAATTTACAATTTTCAAATTCATGAAGCCTACACATAAGAATATGATATAACTCTGATGTATGGAAACCTTCTTCGTACTTACCAAGTTCAAATATGAAACAGTTGTTAGTTATGAAAGCACTTGTCTCTTCTAACTTTTAATCAAATAATTTTTTGAATCCAGTATTCCTAAAATGTTAGTCATATGTAGACAAACTATCATACATATTTAACTACCTGGTATGTTTCTCCTGTCAGTCATTCCTGATTTTCTCTGATTTGGTCTTGCTCTTTGTGGTGTGAAACACAGGGACCACAGCCAATGATGAACTCAGATTTGGTAGAAGAGATAGCAATAAAGTTCCTTTTAGCATTCCTGACGCTACGGTGAAACCAACTCAATATCACTTATTTAACTGTCAAACTATAAATTTTAACAAAAAAAAAAACCCAAAATCTACTCCGTTACTCTTATGCTTCCTATACATTTCTTATTTTCTATACATGGAATCATTGATTTTACCACAAACTGGCTTGATGATAACATGGACTACAAAAATACATATAACTGATCTAAGCCTAATAGTTGAGGTAATTTTGTATAAGACCAAAAAGAAAAAAAAGAAATGGCTAACCAAACTTCAAATAAATTTGAGGTATCTGAAGAAGAAAAATAATTTAAAAATGTAAGCCATAATTTATATTAAATAATTTTATAGATGTTGATAGGAGAGTGCATTTATCCAAGATTTTTATTTCATAAAAGAGTCGAATTTAAAATGTGATGTTTTACTAAGGAAATATAAACTATTTAGAACCACACAATATGACCAGATCAAAATGTGGATATGTTTGCAGCTGCATGCAGCCATAAGAAATCTGTTCCATGTTAATAGACTCTAGTTTGCTTTTAAAATTACTGAGCTTTCCTCTGGGAAGGTCTGGCGTGGCTACTGGAGTATTTTCTTGGCTTCAGAGTAGTCTTCATGCTAAAGTTTGAGAAATGTGAATTTCAGCACTTACTAACTTATCCTTGTTTTGCTTTCTTCCAAATGGTAATATATGGAGTTGAAGAGAATATTAAAAAGCTGGACATCTTACCCAAGAACTTTTCTTACGTGTCAGAAGTTTACTTAAAATTAATTTGCTTCCTGACAATCTTGTAGAAATGAAAGACCCTAGATCTACAAAACGTATTCAGAGTCCAAAATCCACAAATTCTGCAATAGCCCCTTCGCTAAGAGCATTTTGTGAAATTCTGACATAGTTTACTAAAACAAATAATTAAGTTTGTTGCATCTGAGAACTGACACTGTGCTCAGCATTCTTTTTTTACTTTCTATGACATTTTTCAGAAATCAATTTCCAAGTTTAGGAATGGCTGTACTTAATCAGACTAAACAATAAAACTCGAATATTTTGGTATTTCCAAACCTCAGATGTAGTAAGTTTCTGAGATTCAGTCCTGTAGATCCCAATGGGAACATCTCCAGTAGAAGAACACAACTTCTGATAAAGTCTGGCGTAAGTTCTTATCCATAAGTCATCCTCAGTGATTGTCATCTGTAATACGATGAATTATTTATATATTAAATCTTTAAGAAATAAAAACCCAGTGGTTATTTACACATCTTAAAGGTGGGATTGATTGATACTTTGAAGTCTCCAAGTGACATTTCACAGGTGCTCATCCATTAAACTTATTTATTCATTCCACCTCAGCCTTATCCTTGGGTTCCCCCAAACGTAAGAAACCAACCACTCAATTTGTGGCAACAAGAGATTGTATTAGCTCCATATCAGTAGGTAATAGTCACCAGTAATTGACTGGGAGATGCTGGAAAATGTGGAGACTTTTAAATGCTAAGACAACTAGGGGCTGCTACTGAGATTTAGTGGACAGAGTATGCTGATGATAAAAATCTTAAAGTGCAAACAACAATCCAGTATGAAAAAGAATTGTCCATCCAAAGTTCTAATAACACTTGTACTGAGAAAGAGCTGTAGCAGAATGAGCACAGGGCTCACAGACAGGAGGCATAAGTACTAGTCTCTCTTTGCTAATCATAAATCTGAATTGTTAGCAAGTTACTTCATTAAATCCGCTTGCACATAGTATACTCATGTATTAAACAAAAGGGTTAAAAGTGCCTGATCACTCTTTTCCTTGATAGTATGGCACCCTGGGTCAAAAACCGTCAGTCTCAAATTGCCAGCTAGAAAAAAATACCCGTTCTGAATTTTGTGGAGAATGGCTATTTGGTCATGATTATTAATTTAAAATAATATGTTTTCCCTGAAAAATTTTTTAGGGATTAAAAAAACTACGATGCTCTTCTTTGAGCACATATTAGGAAAAGCATGGCATAGAAGAGTTAGCCAAAGTCTATTATGGATGGGTTTCAGAATCTACCAGAACAATCTTCTGCTCCAGAGATTATTGACTTACAGAACAAAGAAACCCCGATCCTGGTGTGGTGTCCAATCCCAACAGGAGTCTGGTGATAGAAATCATATAATCCTTCACAAATGACTGCAATATAAACAAAATATGTATTTATTACGGACATAAAAATGTATAAAACAGCTGACTATGGACACCTTACCATTTCTAAAGCTTCCTTCTCATAACACATTGTTAAGCCTCCATAAAAAAGGAAATAAAAATCTATCTTGTCAGTACACATGTGCAGTTAAGTTGTCCATAAGGAAACAGGGGAAACGATTATTCTCTAGAATACCCTGACATGCTTAAATTTTATGCATGCTATGGGACATGATAAAACATTTTTGGATTTTTTAATAACAAAGTATGGGCTGAAATAGAATAAAGAATATCAAAAACCTTGAAAGAACAAAAATTTGCAATGAAATATTTCAACAGGATCTTTTTAGGATTAAGATCTATGCTATTAGAATACATTTCTAATATTTAAGTAAATCTAAATATTAATGAATTAATAGTTTAATATTAAATATCATTATCAGAGTATTTTATGTGCTAACATATCAGATATATTTTGATATGTTGCTAGAACACTACTCAATAGAACAACACTCAATAGTTAGAGTATTAACTTAATGATACTTCCAATTTCTTCAATTTGTTCTAAACTCTGAAAAAAAAGCCTTTCAATCCATACAAGCAAATTTCACCATGACATGTAACAATTACTTAATAAATGTATGAAATGACTGCCTTGAGTTTGATCTTCAAGTGTTAAAAAGTGAAAAATGTAAATAATCTAGTTATTTTGCATAGCAAAGACTTTTAAAATATTATAATACCTTTTAAATACATCGACCAGACTACTTTGTTGATTACTGTTTTATTTTACCAACAGCTAGTTTCAGAAAAGTAAACCCTTCATCTAAAGGAGAACACAAGGACACATGTCCATTCCCTTTTTTCAGGGCAAAGAAATGGCATTCTAGTTTTGCAAGCATATTAGTCTCTTAGTAGTTAGGACATGAACACATCGGGGGCCGCCAGGAGGAGTTGCGGCACGCACCGTTAGAGAGCATAGCTCAACTTCACGTGCACCTCAGTGCATGCTAGAGAAGAAGAATTTTTAAATAGATTCTCAGGCACTGAAAACTATTATTTTCCAAACAAAAAATAGAAAGTATTCATGGTAGAGAAAGTAAACTGAAGATTTGGCAAATGACTATTTTAAATTATTTTAGACCCAGATGTGGTAACACAGCTAATTTGTTTGCTGCATTCACCTCTCACGCATTCCTTGTCCAGAAGCCATTTGTCCCATAATTTCATCAGGGCACAAACAAGAGGTAGGAAGGAGTCAAAAAGATGTGAACAGGCCCTGCTTGAGATCACAAAATCTGTGCATTCGATCTCATGCCATTCAATCACAGAAGAGTCTTATTCAGTTTCACTTAGTATGTTTTTAATTTTATTTGATATAATAGTTATTTTTTAATAGTTGGTTTTCCAGCTGTACAAAGAAGAGAACTAATAAAACTTATTAAAAATATAAGAGCAATCTATGTTTCGAGTGGGAAGGAAAAAAGGGACTATTGAGAAGATGTAACAAAAGAAAATTACCAACCAGTAAGTTAAAGAAAAAAAAGGACCATAAGAAAAGCCAACATTATACAAGTGTGGGATTATTTACCCGAGAGCTAGGGTTGGGAGTAATCTAATGAGGCACGTGTGGCCTGCAGATGAGGATTCACACTAACCACTGGATAGCTTATCTTTCTGAGCCCTTGTGGCTCATCTACATATTGTGATTGACAGTACTGACAGTATCACAGTTTTCTTTGGGGAAACAAATGAAATGCTGTCTAGGATAGAATTATATTAATAGTAGATACCCACAGATTTGTAGTCATTAACAATAGTTCTTATACATAATATAAAATAGTTCTATATACATAATATAAACATTTATCCTTAAGGAGATAAGTTTGAATCATTAACAAAAACAATTAGATGGTATTTGGTATATTTTAAGAATACAAGAATGCTTATTATATAACTTTAGGAATTAAATATCTAATTTCTAATATCTTTTTTAACACATAAATGAGTACTCTTTGCCTATCCAAAAAATGGACGATTAAAATATCTCATTTAATGTCAAGAGAAGCTAAATAGGCTGTTACTATTTTGAAAATTATTGTTCTAGTTCACTCCTTCTTCAGGAGCTTCAGAAAATACACTTCTTATATCTCTATTTATAACAGAAAATATGAGGCAAAAATGATGAGAAAGAAATACCTACGGCTTTCCCCTTCTACCTAACAGTTTTTCTTCTATTTAGCTTATATGTTAGACTTGCTCATGAGATTTAAAGAAAAGATACTGTGGCTACCAAGTCTGAAAAGCACTGGTATGTAATGACATTGAGCATTTGACTGCCACTGATACAAATTCTTCAGTTTCTACATTGCTCCTTAAACAAACCCTCCTCCAAGCTTCTCTTTAAGAGATTAGAAGTATGTGTTTGGGAGGAAAGCCTTGCCTCCTGGAGTGCCCAAATAATGTGTCTGGAAACTTGAGGGCAAACAGGGATGTTTACTCTCTTTCGCTGTGTTTGTTCCTGCACTCATCTGGCATAAGCAGATGGTTCGTGACGTTGCTAGAGGCATACTCCAGGGCATAATCAGCCCAAAGGCCAGTAGAAAAGCTTTCACTAAAGTTGGATTAGTTTATTCAGTCAAGCATTATAGAAGCGGGTACATAAAAGTTGTCATCAAAAGGAGAATAGGCACAAACAAATGCTTGAATGCTTAATTTGAGATTAAAGTTTTCAAATAATTTAAAGCCCTATGCGTATATTTTTTTTCTCTTAATAGAAATATTTAGAAAGTGTCTGATTACTTGAATCAGGGAATATGAAATGTTACTGCTGTTCGATTTCTGGCAGAGTTTTAAAAAAAAGATTAAGATATATTTGTGTAAAATAACATCTCCATGAACTTCTTAGTTATGATAAAATGACAAAGTTAACTTTGGCATTCAGGAATAAACTAAATAGTTCTTAGTTGTCGTAAAATCTTTTTTATATTTTTCTAAAGTAGGCAGTAATTAGTAGATGCTTAAAATGTCCTTGGCTTATCAGTTAATTGCTATCAACTTGGCATCTTATTTCCAAAAAAAAGTATTATGAAGAAGGCTGCCTTTTTTTTAACCTAACAATTTTTCCTTAACTTTTTTCATTCTAGTAATATGCTTAGAGAATATGAGAAATGCCTTAAAATGTCACAATAAGCATTGTAGGACACTGGTGCCAAAGAATGCCTTAAAACCATTTCACAGATGATGCTGAAAAATGTTTTCCTTACAAAATGTTTCATAGGCCCATTTATGTCATAAATACGTGAAATAAAATATTGAATTACTTCCAGCTCCAGAGAAATATTAGATGCATTATGGATTTAATAAAATCTAAATGAAATATAAAATAAATATTTTAGAGAGAACAAAAGAAATACAGCAAACCTGATAGAGAAGCGTGTCCAACATGCTGATGCTAAACACTCTTCCAGCTGCAAAAGGCAGTCGAAACATAAAGGCCAAGTTGGAACCCCTCTCTCGTTCTTTCTGCTCAGAAATTTGAAAGAGAAAAATCTGTGACCATTTTTATACCTTCCTGCTTCGTTAAATTTTCCAGACACATGTAATGAAAGACATTCTCATTATATGGTTCTTAGCTATAAATGTTGTTATTTCACTTATAATTGTATTTTTAAGATGTCCCTTTAATTTCCGTAACCAAGTTTCCTTAATCAATTAAAATACTCAATACTTAAGAAAGGTTAACCTATTCATCTGTTCATTAAACATTTATTTACTCTTTTTTTACTTCCAGGGTTTACATTGAAGGAAATGAACTACCCTCCTATCTCCACGCATCTGAATCCTATTGGTAAATATCATTTTATAAGAAAAATACAGAAATTAATTCCACTCATTATTAAAGGTGTCAATCAAACATTGACTCATTCATTTATTTATTAAATCAGTCACTGAACAAATACATGTTGAGAATCTATTCTGTGTAGGGCATTATCCTCAGAGGTAGGGATACAGAGCTCCTGTATAGAACTAATAAATTCTATTAATATGGAATTTATTATGTGCTGAATATGGCCAGGCACTAGTAAAGAAAGAGGGCTACTTCCTTTGCCTGCAAGAACTCAGAAAACTGTGAGTGGTCCCAATAACGAAATAGACAAAAAGACCAAGGTGAGTATATGTAATGATACAGAGAGAGATGCCTTAGGAGCATGTAGGAAGGACATCTAGCTCAGTCTTTTGGTGGAAAAGTCAAGAGGCTGAATTAGAAGTAATGTCTAAGTTGAGACCCAAACTATGAGTAGGAATTAGCTGGTAAATTTGGAGAGGGTGGGTGATAGGTAGAAAGCTATAAGCAGAAGGTCCAGCATATGCTAGAAGCTGGAAGAGGAAGAAAGCTTGAAAGAGTGGAAGAACCATAAGCAATTGTGTAAGAATACAGTATGGAGTGTGAGTGTATGGGCTGGAGGAAGAGGGCAGAGATGAGACTGGAATAGTAACCATGAACTAGATGTTAAAGTACCAGGATCCTTGAGAGGAAAGGGAGGCTATCAAGAATTACACTGAAACCAATGGCGTGAACTGGAATTGCCCCGGGAACAACAGGACGTGTGAGCATCCTGGTTTGAAACCATGTTAAGGATTTTGAATTGCATCTTAAGTGCAATGAGGAAAAACTAAAGTACTGTTAAGAGGAGGAGCAATATGATCATAGCTTTAGAATGCTCACTTTGATGACAATGTAGAAAATGGCTTGGAAATCAGGAGATGGCATGGGGAAATTGAGCAAGATGAACGAGGGTGTTAGCGCAGCAATTCAAGTGAAAAATGAAGGCACATTCTACTAGGATATTTGCAGGAAAAGATCTTCAAATATATTTAGACATCAGATATTAAATCTGAGAGGACTTTTGACCGAATTTGGTAGTAAAGTAGAGAGAAGATGAGGATGATACCCGCTTCTGGATAAATGGGTGGATAATGGTGCCTTTCTGTAAAAAAGAAAATGTGGAAGAAGAGCAGATTTTCAGTTAATTTGGACTTGAGTTTCAAGGTTAGCAGAATGTTCCATTGCTGAAAATATGGACCCAACAGGCAGTATAACAAGCAGTGGCTGGGAGCTTGGAGTCTAGAAACACACACGAGTTTCCAGCCAAGAGCTGCCACTCCCAGTTGTACAACCTTTTACAAATTAAACTCCCTGCTCCTCAGTTTCATCACCTGTGAAATAGGATTCATATTGCTGACTACGTCCCACTGCCATTATACTAATTAAACAAGATAAAACATCTGAAAGTATTGTATATATTAAGCACTTAAATACTATTTTCTATTACTATTAATTCTCTGAACACGCCAGCATCACCTCCAAGGACTTCATAGTGTTTGCTTTCTTCCCAAGTTTTTAGGGGGCTGGTCTGGTGTGATCACTGCAGCTCTAATACTACCTCTCCCAAGAGACTTCGCTTTATCACCTTCTTTAAAGCAGGGTTCTCCAGTTACTTTGGAATATGACCTTGTTACGACTTTCATAGCTCTTTTGAAATCTCCAATACTTGGTTGATATTTTTATTCGTTAACTGTCCTTCTGAGATAGACTATGAGTTCCAGGAGGGAAAGACCCTGCTTTTGCTTTCTGTTTCATAAATAATGCCCAGTACACAGACGGTCAATGAAATTTTATTGTACAAATGACTAAACCTGTTCTACTAATAGTAGTTGCCCACATCAAAAGGAAATTGGTATCATAAAATTTATATCGTTCATATGGGGAAGCAAGAAACAATCTGAGGTTCACTAATACCTTTCTCACTTGGGTTCTCTAAAGGAGGTTTGAAGATGGAAAGGATAGCAATGTTGGTGTTATGCAAAGTTCTCATAGTTTAGTATTTCCTTTGTGGTTTTGTTTTGTTTTTTTTTTTTTAAGTGAGGAAGACTGGCCCTGAGCTAGCATCCATTGCCAATCCTCCTCCTCTTTTTGCTTGAGAAAGATTGTCGCTGAGCTAACATCTGTGCTAATCTTCCCCTATTTTGTATGTGGGATACTGTCTTAGCGTGGCTGCACGAGCCCTGTGCAGGCCTGCACCAAGGATCCAAACCCACAAACCCCAGGGCACTGAGGCAAAGCACACAAACTTGACCACTAAGCAACCAGGCTGCCCCCTATTTTTATTTTATTTTATTTTTTTTTACAAAATACAATAATAAATCTTTCTATGATTGCTTCTAGTACAAACACATAGTACATAAGTGTCCCCCCTTATCCTTGGGGGATACCTTCCAAGACCTCCAGCGGATGCCTGAAACTGCAGATAATACCAAGCCCTATACATCCTATGTCTTTCCTATACAGACATACCTATGACAAAGTTTAACTCATAAATTAGGCACAGTAAGAGACGAACAACTTCTCGTTGGCATATCTGGATTGCCAGCATCGCTGCTCTTGCACTTTGGGGGCGGGTATTAAGTAAAATAAAGGTTGCTTGAACACAAGCACTGTGATACCCAAAAGTCGATCTGACACCCGAGATGGCTACTAAGCGACAACAGGCGGGGAGCATCCACAGCGTGGATCCGCTGGAAAAAGGAATGATTCACGTCCCAGGCGGGACGCAGCAGGATTGCATGAGATTTCATCGTGCTACTCAGAACAGCGCATAATTCAAAACACGAATTATTTCTTTCTGGAATTTTTCATTTAATGTTTTTGGACTGCGGTTGACTTTGAGTAACTGAAACCGTGGAAAGCAAAACCTGGGTTTAGGGGGACCTACCCTAATTCCTTTTTTTAAAAAATATCATGTTTCCTTCCTAGTAGAATTCTGCATTCAGCTGAAGTTTCAATGATGATTTTGTGCTTTCCTAACTACTTATCTAAAAATACCTAAAAGAAATCTGAGACATGCAAATCATTATTACAGGATCCCAGACACTTTAATATACTTGGTCTTACCTCTCTCCTCTATTTGGTTTGCTAACATGAACATGTGTCTTTGTTAGAAGAGGGAATTCATTCCTGGAACAAATTTTATTTTCTTTAAGCTGTGCCCATCTAATGCCATAGGAAATGCCAGGATAAAATTATTGGATTTAGCAGAACAGTATGGGAGGTGAAAAGATCAAGTATTTGATTGGCATAAATTAATGATTTTCATCCCCTCGTTTCTCAGTGACAATTCTGTTACATGCCTTCGTTCTTCAGCTTGGACTCAACCACACTGTAATCTGCAAAACTAGGGGTTTCGCTCAGCATTCATCCTGCTTGACCTTTTATACAGCGTTTGACACAGTCTTCTTTTCTTTCTTTCTCCTCTCTTCCTCCCTCTCCCTACCCTAGTCCACCAACAGCCTTCAAATCTTGTTTCCAAACTCTCAGGGCCTGGGCAAACTAACCCGCCCTTTCCTGTGCGCCACAAAGCTGCTTGCCTAGGGAGGGGTCTTTTCAATTCAAGTACAGAGAATCCTCATGTTAAAAAAAAATAAAGGCGTCAACCGGTTGCTAGGGTTTTGTGCATCCTGCTTATGAAGCTTTGCTAGAAAAGAGACTCGTCTCTATGGAAACTACCACATCACAGAGGCTCTGAACAGCAGCTGTGAGACAGGCTGCCTCTTCCAGAACGGGTGTCCTATCAGAGCCTCTCACTGAATTGTGTGCCTGGGAAGCGGGGAAGAGAGAGGGCCCTGGAGTCCTGGGTGGCCTTAAATCTTTCTCTGTCTCTCTCTCTTTCCTTTCCCCTCCCGCTGTATTGCAAACAGAAGGAGGAGGAGATTGCAGTAATAAAGAGCATTTCTCTCTGTATTTCTGCTTTTCTTCTTACCCATTATCTAGTAGGTTCCCCCCACACTCATGTGTGCATGTGCGTGCGCACGCACTCACACAAACACACACACACTCTCTTCCAGTTGGATAAGTGGCAGCTTAGAGGAGGTGCATTTGCTGGAGCTCTCAGGGATTCCGTCTCGTTTATGAGGAAACAAGGCTAACTCGAGTCAACCCAAGGCAAGTCCATGCTGAGGGAGTTTATGGTGTGAGGGACCCTCTTCCTTATCTGAGAGAGAAATGCAAGGTCATCCAGGCAGTTATTCTCCTATACTAAAATACAAGTGGTCCTTGCCTTATAAACAGGGTGATCATATAATTTATCATCCAAATCAGGATGTCTATGAGAGGAGCTCTTAGTACTTATACTGCGACAATAGCCATACGCCAGGAGAGCCTGGGCAAACTAGGACTTTGACCATGACATTTAAGACTTAGGAACATGTGCTTCACAAACGACACACAAGATAATGGCTTCCCGTATCCTGCTCTCCCCTGAAGGCCTTCGTGCTCCTGAAAATTGAGAAATTCGGAAAATTGGAAGTTTTTGAAAAATGCATGGATTCAGAAGTGAAGAAAAGAAGGATGTTGAAGGATTACAAGATAGATTTTCAAGAAGAAAGATGCTTGTGTGTACGCTATTTCACACAATATCTGTGTGTCTGAGGGTAAATATATACCAGGAATGTATGAGAACGTCTGT